TTAAACTTACTTTTTTGCCAGCCCATCCTCACTAAAGTTGCACCACCTAAAGCATTCAGCCACTACTCTCCCCCCAAGCTAGCCAAGCATATCAAGTGTGCCTGCAACACTCACAGCCTAATGAACAATGCACAAAAACAAAAGTAACAGCAAGACTCCTATTATCTGATCTTCCGTAAAACACAAAAACTGCCTTCTCTGGTACAGAGGAAGTGCCAGTAAGCCTGCAGGTGTGAGCCAGTTAAAAGAAAAGGCTTTGGCTAAATAGATTCTTTGACTGCCAGGGATTAGAGTCATGGCACCAGTGGTAACACACATCTTTTCCTTTAATTTACAAAATTTTCTCACGAGTTTGCAAGAGTTCACCCCATCAGGGGCTTTCTGAGGCCATTGAAATGACTTAAGTTTTAATTAAGTTGGAGTTGTCAGAAGAAAGCTTTTTTGGCACAGAGTCAGGGTCATTAATTACTGCTATCTTTGTTTCTTTCAGAAAAAAGAACTCTACTGACTTGTTGGGTTACTTATACAGCCTACATTTTCTATCCTACAGTCCTTATTCACCTCCAAGCAAGGCTTGATTAAGCAGTTTACCAATTACTTCCATCAATCTGTTTTACAAATCCTATGGGTAATCTTAACTTCAGAAGCTTTTCTCTCTGCTGATTTGAGGTACAGTAGTAATGAAAGCAGCATTACTGTTAGAACCACAAAGCATTTTAGAATTCTAGATTTTCGATTCTAAATGGTACTTGAATCACATTCCTGATTTTATCATTTCGTACCCATCCTCTTATACAATTGTAGCTGGATTGTCAGTTATTAGCAGACACAAACCACACTGCATAAAATTAAGCAGAATAACATAATTCCCTTGCTATCTTGCAATTGCGGGGTAAAAGTTCATGTTTTCTATCAGTCAAATAAATACCTGCAAACAAGCTAGCATTCAAATCACAGGACATGGTATCTGTGTTTGATAATAGTAGAAACTTTATTGCTGGGTGCCATTTACCAAAAAATGTAAAAGTCCAGAATAATTAAATAAAATTGTTACCCCGTAACAATTATTCACTGGCCTAAGTAAAGGCTAATTTGTAGGCTTCATTTCTACCAGATGCATTCACATTATAAAACAGCCAACACCTTAACTGGCACTAATTTGCTGCTTCATCAGAGTCTGAGATATGGAGAATACACTGTCTGCCTCATTCCTGGAGATAATGGTCTCGAGGCTCAGTATGAAATATAATATTATATAGCAATATGCTATATCCATTCCATAGATAAAGTGAAGATTTTTATTTCCAAGCCTGTCCATTCTTTGCCTCTGGTGATCACTAACTTCACATGCATACACAATTAACATATATTCCTCTGAAACAAATACACCACAGTTTGATAGTCATGTATTTTCAGATACCCAGTAAATTCTTGGGTTTATACAAAGCATTTTGCATAAATACCATTACCATTATTAGAAAGCTTGATAACTGTATATCTTTCTAAATACACCACTTGTTCATTTAAATGAAGTTCGTTTTATCAAAATCCTCAAATTCTTTGAAGCCTGCAAAAAGCCTATGTTAAACTACATATTTTGTACTGTTTTTAATAAAAACATTGGCAAAATAATGTTTTTTCAGAAACCCTGACTTGGATTTCTGATTTATTGAGTATACTTTACCATTTTGAGCTACTCAGCTCAGCAAGTGGTTGCTCAGAGACTGCAAGACTTGAAATGTCTGTGGCATAGTATAAATTATTGTGATCCTCCCTTGGGTATTTACTTAATTTCTCACCCATTTACTGTACTTCGCATAAAATGGCAGAAGCAAGACAGAAACTGTTAAAAAGCTAGGAACACTACCAAGAATGTTAACCAGCTCTGGGAAGTTAAGATACCTGCAACAGAGGCAATCCACTGTTAAAGAAACTACTTTGCTGCTATACATTCTGTGTCTGCCTGTTACCTCTGTTTCCTAAAAACAAAAACAAAAATAACAATCCCATATAAATTATGGTCGCTATTTATTTGGTAAAATATTGAAAACTGGTACTACAAAGAGATTGCAAAACTGTGTTGAAACTTCTTATAAAATAACCATCTCTTAATTTGTGGCATTTTATTTGTAACAATTTTATTGTGGCACTGATTGCCAAAGCATCACGGCATTGCATCAATCCTTGTTACTGTTTTCATTTTTTTCACCTTAGTTAAGACTATCTCTAATATGAAAAGCAATTCAGCCAATTTATTTATGTTTTCAGGATGAATCTATATAGGGATGCATAGCTGTCATCATATCCCTGAATTCCTTCTTTCCACATACAATCCCACTGTCACCAGCTTGGCCAGTGTATACCTGTAACTAGTTGCTGAAGTGCTCTTGAAGTGGGAGACTGGGAGAACCAAACCTCAGGGACATGGTCTCCCTCCCATGGTCATGTTTTTCAGGCTGTAGCTACCACCAGTGTGAGTTACGGTACCTGCACCTACAGCACTGGGAACGGCCACTTTAGTACTTTGGGCTGTTTTCTCCCTCCTCCAGTAAGGACTTTACCCAGCCTTTTCAGAACTCCAGCTTACTTTTATTATTTTTTCTTCTGTAGTTGAACAATATCTTTAAAATCCATCTCTCTGTTTAAACAAATACACACAGAAATAAATACAGTAATGAGAAAAGACCTACCAGGCTGGCAGTGTCAAAAAGCCCTTTAAGAGGCTTACGTGT